CGGTGATGGTGGTGAGCGCGCTGGGCGATGGGACGTGAATTGGGCTAGGCATGGTTACTGTACAAGGTGCGTCGAGACTGGCTAATTCCGCTGTCGTGAATACGCATGTGGGGGACAGTGAGGACAATGAAGGCGGATGCGGCGGGTGTAGGTTGGTGCTCCAGGCACTGGTCCGCCAGTCTGTGGGATGGATTCGCGGGTGACCGAACAGGCCAGTGTGTAGGTGGATGTGCGATTGCAGTGAGGATAAGTATGAGCCGAGTCTACATTGCGGGAGATGGGTGTGTTGATGGTGATGGTAGGAGGTCGGGAGGTTGGACGCTGCCCCCATGGTTGGGTGGAGCGCGTGATGACCAGGCTTTGGTGGAGCTGGTCGCTGTGGTGGACGCACGGGTTGGGGCAGGGCGGATGGTGTCGGTGGTTGAAGACGGCAGGACAACGACATTAGAGGGCGGTGACAGGGGTGGCGGACGGCGTGGGGTTCGCCTCAGGAGCTTGAGTGGGAGAAGTGGAAATCGGGTTGTTGGCACATTGGGCCCGAAAGTGTCCCATGAGAGTGATTCGCGCGCGGAATGCGCGTTGGCAGCACGGGCATGGTGGAAGCGGTTGACGGTTAGCATTGAGTAGACGAGGCACTTGTGACTTGCGGGCCTCCATTTTGGCTTCGGCTGCGACAGCGATCCAATTCGCTTTCTAGGTGGCGGCGCCGGTCCCATATAGGCCGATGACGTCAATAGTTACCATTAGCTAGTGCCTCCAGCGTCAGCGTTGGCCGTAAGACAAGGCCGGATTTATATTATTAGGACCTTGGCGGTATTGGGTTGTCGAAGTTTTGTCACGTCAAGGCAATTCGCGCGTGTGATATCTTAAGGACGGATGCGAATTGAACTTTCAGGCATGTGGGAAAGGGAACATAGTCCGACTTATGGACGTTTCTAGTTTCGGCACTGCATCAGTCCGCTTTAGTAAACCCACATGTGGACCCTTGGGCCCACTATAATGCAGTCAACCTTTCTGGTCGTATAGCCGCCGTTTTAATAGCAGACCAATAGGCGTTTGTGGTGGTGCTGGGTGCAAGGTCTAGCATTCTCGCACGATTGTCACGCCGAGAGCCAAACCCAAGTCGCCGTGTCCAGTCCGGCCGCTGCAGCTCCGGCGGCAATCGGCTAACTACTGCGAGGAAGTCTCTGAGTAAATTTTCAGCTGCAAGTAGGTCCCATTATCGCGCTAGTCGGCAGCTAATGTTGGTGCGTACATGGAAATGTTTGCCAAGTGACCCCGAGTCGCATTCAGACCAACTGGTTACCACGCAGACAGTGCTTGGTCCGCTTGTTCCGGGAGGGCGATCGCCACACTCTATTTACCAGAAGTCGTATGGGCCGCTGTGGTAGGGGTGGCGTGGGATCTTCGTTTTATGAGCGTTCGAGCGGGAGATTCGGATCTCAAATAGGCAGCGGACATTCACCTACTGATAATTGTGTCGTCATACTCTGGATACCAAGGTCCGGGAATGTCCGCACACTCCAGCACCTAGTACCAAGGTTCCGTTCCCGACTGAGTAGCCTGCTTCGTATAGAAATTGCCACATCACCGGACCAGGATCGCGGAGGTCCTCGGCCCCCACTGACACCAGAGTATGGGTCTCAATACTGGAGTCAAATATATTTTGAAGGGACTTCCTGGGGATTTTGAATACAGGCGGGTCCTCAGCAGCCATTCGTTTTGTGTGATCGAGAATGTCTTTGGCGCATTGGTTTAAGAACATAACCAAAAGACAGCAGTGGCAAGCAAACTTATTTAATTACGATCGTTATGTTGCAGTGCCGTCACCTAGATTTTTGGCATTCTACAAGACAGTCGGAGTGCCAAACCTCGAACCTTCACCATTTTGGTAGCCTCGTCGTTGCTGGTCTTCGATTGCTTATTCGACAGGCTTGCGAGCCTGCTTAATCTGCAGCTAATCATCGCTGAAGGTCGTTACACTATCCGCCACTGGTGGACGCGCAGGGCAGCTAGACTAACAATTAACCCGTGTTGTCCACGTCGAACGAGCTGTGACAGCGAGTCTGGACATTTCGACTTTCTAGCTCCTCCAATACCGAACATCTGATGTCCAAGAAACACCACCTATTGGTGGGCAAGTGTAGGACTAACTCCTCAGCTGCACCGTTTGCTACCATTAGTGGCGAAACCACAACTCTGGACGACGACCTCAACTGCCTTTGTTGAATGGTCCGGACAGCCGTAATTTTGTCACAGCAAGTACTAACTGCGCCCTCGTAAACAAAGTTGGTGTACTTGACTGGGACGACCGTCCTCGAACAACAGTGGTCGAGAACCGTTGTCCGCTGGTCGAAAGGCAGGGCCAAGCACTCAAGCGTAGAGGAATTAAGTGACAAATGCTCGGCATACGCGAGTTTATGCGGCACATCGGAACGTGTCGGGGGACAACCTGACGATTTGCGAAGACCCCTCGAGCAGTGTTAACTCGGAGGAGTGCTTTATCATAACACTGAAGTGCGATCTAGGGAACAACTCAGACGCCTGCTTTTGCAATTGGGAAGCTATAAGTCGCGGGGGGCGCCCTCTCTTGGTTGAACCTGCCTTGGCTTTCGCAGGGTCCAGGGGTAGGCCGGCACAATCCTGTCCACCACACCATTATGACTTGAAATTAGACGAGTCAAGCCTTGAGAATGATCGCCTGTCAGTCAGTAAATTAGACCGACGGTCCTCTCTGTGCCTCTTTGTTCGGTCCAGTTCTGAACCAGACGTCATTGAGTGTCGTCTTTGCATCGCGAACGACTAACTCGCCCGAGCGATACTGGGGAATAATTGTGCGCGAACGTTGAAAGGATCTGGGCCGTGGTCGTTCTCACACCTAGTCGTTTACCCCTTTTGGAAGACAGGCACAAATATGACCGATCCCCACTTATCCGAGAAAACCTCCTCTCCCCTAGTTTGTCCAATCACCTTACGGAATCAGGGCACCCGTGTGTGCACATAGGTTACACGACACCGCATGGAGTTGACAGAAGTAAAACTCGAAGAAGATGCGAATGGTTGTTGGTCATTTAAACTGGGGCGACGCTCCACGCAATTGTTGAAACGTCTCCTCATTTACACTGCGAATGAAACCACACGCGCAACGAATTTACAAATTCCCTGGTTGGTGAGTTAAATAGAACTTTTCCAATGTCACGAAAATCTAACTCCCACTTCATCGAAGTCACCATTTGGTCCAACAACGATCGTTGCGCTTTTACCTAGCTAGTTTTTCCGTCATTGCATGGAGTTCGTTCGGCAAACCACCACTCTCAGATCTGTCTATGTGGACAGTTGTGGGGGTCCTGTGCCGATCCACCCGTTGCGACGTCCCTGGGTCAATCCAGGAATTCCCTCACTCAGTTTGCGAATTGAGGACTTCGGTGGTCAGTTGCCACTCCTAACTTACGTTTGGGCCAAGAGATGACCAGAACCTTGGTTGTCACAATTTTACGACATTAAGGCGTCTGATACGAGAAATTCTAGACCCCAATAAGAGGCGGCCCCTCGACTAAGTCCGGACGGGCACATGATCTGACCCACAGACGACGTCTCTTTCACTACCATACATCAGACCGTTATAAATGGCCCAGGCACTAGGTCTGGGGTAGAGACTACAGTTGATCTGGCTGACTGTAAGACCGGCGTTTGACTTAGCGGTACAGAGCGATCGGTGCCAAAATCCACCTATGTGCCCTAGCAGCGCTGCTACGACTATTTGTAGTCGACTGACTTCACCTAGGGCGGCTACATTGTCTGCCGCCTGCTGAGGCATCGGGTGGCCAAAATCTAAGCTAACGGGTGCCACCATCACTAGCTAAGGCGCAGAGAAAGGCCTGTTGTTAACCTACTTGGTGGCTTCTACAAGTGGCGGACAGTGGAAGGGCCGCACTGATGCTTCCCTCCACCACTTTTGTGTACTGACGGCGAAGTCAGTTAAGGAAGGCTGTGAGAACTATTGGGCCTAGGCAGGGGATTTTATGGGACAAGCATCAGAAGTTGGTGACACCCGAAAGCTCTGCCAAACCTACTGACTAGGGTAATAGTATATGTGCTATACCGCGTGATCTCTCTCACAAAGTAAATAGGGAATTTGGTTTTGGGAAATGCCAAGACTGAGCGCTGGTGCCCACACACAGTGCCACCCCAACTTCCAGTCCGCAATTGTTTACTGCTATCAGCAACTGACAGTCGTGTATTTGTTTACTTCTCTGCGATCTTGACTCATTTTGATCAATAATAGTTCCAAATAGTACGCCCGCGGAGGTCTACTGTCGCCAAACCTCCACGTAGGTTCTCGCCCGAAACATTAACCGTTCGGTGTTTACACTTTCGCGATCCTAGCCGCAGGGAATTGAGATCGCGCTAAACTTACTGAGGCGTCAGACTCAGTAATCGAGTCAGGACCCGAGTCTTGATTTTAGATCAAGTTATGGTCAATCCCCAGACTGCCATTGCAGTTTCACTCGCCACTGTCGATAAAACGACCCGATGGTCCCTGGAAGTATAATCCTACTGCAACTGTTAAATTATGAAGGCTTGGCCATAAGACACGGTTTGGACTGACATGTTACCCCTGCTCTTGCATACGAATATCAGGAAGCGGATCGTCCTAAACTATCAAAACTCGGATAGCTGCAGTTGCTTATTTATTTCTTGACAACCATCAATCGTTTTTTGAGGAAACTCATGTAAGTGGATGTCGGAAACAATTGATTCAAGGCTGATAACGTAGAACAGTATGCTTACTACGTGAGTATATGCAAGATTCAAATACCGACCAAGAGAAACTCCAAAAGGATAGTGCAGCAGTCCTACTAAAGCCGACGTATACCAGACTTGGCAATCTCCGCCCACTGGTAAGAACGGGCATGACAGGCTGGCAACGCCTAATAGGCCATAAATGGCCATCCTGGCTTCTACAATCCCTGTCGGCACTTGTATTGAGAAGGGCTTTGAGGCGTCCTTTACTACCAACCGCATCTTTGTGAACTATATGCTTTTTGGTATCACTTCAAAAACATTTATGGGTCGGTCTCCTCCGTTTGTCGAGTTTTAGACACGTTGCACTAGTTAGGTTGTATGAGGAGGTTCGTGGCAGCATCTTGGTTGACAGCAGCCTTCGCAGCCCATTATTTTGGTAAATCATCTTCACAGACTGAACTATTTGGCTATGACCCCGTTGCGCCTGTTGTTTTCAAAGTGAATGCTAATAAGACAGCAAACAGCCATAAACTTGTACGAATATAAGCTTTTGAGCGGGAAATGATCATCAACTCTTCTTTGTCTTGGTTAGCAAGACTTGAACATGATCCGAGTAGGTGTGCTTTGCATTAATCTAGTCGGGCACAAACGCAAAGTCACATGCGAAACTTGACAAAGAGCGCAGGGGATTTAACACTCAAGTCGAACACTTTATTTAGCTTAAGAATAGAAACAAAGGACAAAATAAATTGGTCGGAAGTCATGCGAACTCGTCGGACGACCGACACAGGGATTGCACGCAGATGATAAAATGCACGACAAATTGGTTATACGCGTTTGTTTTTGCTCACTTGTGGAACGGATGTGTGCGGTTTAACTGGCAAATGATGAGTCGCTCGACTGTCACCACCTGTCTCATCAGCTGCTTTTTCTTCGTCGTAAAGGACCTCGAATTCGCCCAACTGGTTTTCATCAACGGGTTTACAGTTTCTTACGTCGGGCATTACTCCAACCGGCAACACGATGTTTAAAACGTCGTTTATCAATTTGTATTTCATGATTCGGTCACTCGCCGTAGTTGAAGTAAGCGAGGGTGACGCGTTCACCTCGATTAGCCAAGGTTTCAATTTGTCGTCGATAATAATGTCGTATCCGTAACATTCAAAGCAGTGTCTGTCGTTGTTAATGACCTTCGCAACTGATCTTAGCGAGTGATAAATCAGCCAGTAGATTTCATTAAATAATTTCACAGCAACATTTTTACCTCGGGTTCCCTCCAGCCATAGTCGCAGATTGCAAATGCTCCATTTCCCGCCATGATTGGAATTGTACTCAGTCGCGTGCTTCTGCACAGAAACGTTAGTTAAGTGGATAAACATATTGCCCAGTCCAGCTTCCTTTTTATCATATCTTACTGTACAGAACCTACAGAAACCTTGCTTATAAACATAACACCTTAGAGGCCTGAATGATGTCACGAGGACGTACATTCTAAGATCAAATTTCTTGCCGCCGATCAGAAGAGGATTATCAATGTATCGTGAGATTACGTAGGTTTCGCGAGGAACTTGCGGTAGATGGCATGCGTCTCTGGAATAAACCGAATGGGTTTCTTTCGCCCACTTCTTAACTTGAGACAGCCGATTTACTAAAAAAATGCCCTCTCCACGGGCCTTGCTGCTTGGCTTTAGAATCCATGTTAGTCGAGGATTCTTCTTATACTCTTCAGCAAAAATTGTATAATCTTGTGGGAGCATATACGTTGTAGGAATAAAATCTAGGTACAAATACCGTCCCTGGTCATCTTTGGCTGCCAAAATGTTGGATTCTTTTTCCAAAACGCGGCGGTAGCGTTTTATATTTTTGACCATAAGGTCCTTACGCGTTAGTTCGAACTGATTAGGAAAGTGATTTATGATCTGAAAGACAGCGAGATAAGGATACTTACACGCTCACCTGGTCGTCAAGCAGTCGTACTCCGCTTTCTGAGTTGAAAATCGCCCTTGCGCTGGTGACGGAAGCCCAGAATATATTCCAGTGGTCATCTGAATCCACTTCGACCCACTTTCTCGCCTGACAATTATTAACTATGACGGAACTGTCCCAGTCCGACGCGTAATAAATCGGCGACATTTCTTCGGTGGTCCACGATCCCCGACCTAGGTCGTTTGCGGTATACTCAGGTAATGGATCAAATGCACTCAAGTTCAAAATATTTTGATGGTATTGTGATATTCCTTCTTAATGACCTGCACGGTCTGAAAAAGCGTGAGAAGCTCGCGCGCAGGTACAGTCAATGATCTGACGGGATGGTGCGCAAAAGAGCGCGAGAGACCAAAAAAAGCGATATGCGGACGTGCTTCAGGGTGCTGAAGAGTGATTGGTCGAACATTTTCTCGAGGGCTGCGGCGGCTTCTGTGACCTTTCTAGAGTTTTATTTTGCGAAATTATTTTTGATGATACCTCCAGCCACTAAGAGACCCGGAGTATGTCATTAAGAGAATCGGCTAAGTGAGAAGCTAGCATATGGTTACTAACTTTGAGTCTCACTCAACTCGCTCGAATTTTACCTGCTTAGTAAGTTTATTAGTTAGTTTATTTAGCAAGTTAATTGTTAGTCACTTAGTTTAGTTAGGCAGTTTGCCAGTTAGTCTAGTTAGTTGGTCGGTTAGTTAGTCAGTATAGCTAGTTAATTAGCATTGTTAGTCGGGCAGTTAGTTTTTTAGTGAGATTAGTTTAGTTTACTTTGTTAAATAGCTCATTAATTTAGTTAGTTCATTGTTAGTCAGTTAGTTTAGTTAGCTTGGTTAGTTAATTAGTTGGTTAGTTAGCAGACTAGTATGGTTGGTAAACAGTTATTCGTCGGTTAGTTAGTCAGTATAGCTATTTAGTTACTTAGTGAGTATAGTTTAGTTTGGTTCGTTAGTTAGCTAAGTAGTTTACTTAGTACGTTGTTAGCCAGTTAGTTTAGTTAGTTTGGTTAGTTAGTAAGTTAATTAGTAGGTTAGTTAGAAGGTTAGTGTGGTTGGTACCAGTCGTTCGTTCTTAAAGTTTCACATACTTCACCCAAAATGTGTGTTTTTTATGGCTTTTGGCTTCTATTCGTCCGTCTAGAGACGTCATTCGGTTAGAAATGGCGAAATGAATATACCTATTGCGATTACCTATATTAGCGGTGAATTGCATGGGAAACGGACGATATTAACGGTTGTAAATTGGCAATGCCATTATTCAAAGGCAATTTACTATCCTATTTTTCCTCTGATGGCCATATTCCTTTGCTTTTTAATCATGCTGTATTTTGCCGTTTTTATGTTTTACCTAACCAAGGCCATTTTCGTCTAATTACGTTTTGGTTTTTTCGGTTGCGCGCTTGATTAGATTCGTCCGCATGTGGCTTTAGTTAACGTGTGTAGGACGTACTGACCCTGTTGTTTTAATGTGTCCTTGCTATGATCTTCCTGTACATTTTGACTGATTGAAGTTACGAACGGTCTTGTTTTAGTGACCGCCGTCGAAGAGTGTGAGGGGGCCCGTCGAGAGACCGCCCGTAAAGTGGAGGACGAAGAGAAGACGGAACGGGATTAATTTTCCTCTGCTGATATATTTCTTTTAATAAACTTTTTCCACCGTCGACCCATTATATCCGTGCACGCTTGCCCTTGCAGACGATGGACTCAATTCACTCTGATTCCCAGGGTTCCCGCCGAGGAGGCACTCGTTCGGATAAGAGCACCAAGGAAGCCAGCACGGACTGTCGCCTAGAAGGAGAAGAAGACAAGACCATACCCTTGAGTGGTTCGAGTATTACAAACGCATTGCCAAAAGAGCACCCGCGCCGTAGTCCAATGGCTCCGATTTGCCTATTCCGCCCGAAGTACAGTCTTAGAAAATCTGTTCACGGCTTAACATAAGAAAGTTCATTGTGTCCTCTGATTCCAGTTGCCTGATTCACCTTCTATAGAGGATAAAGGATCCCAAGGTGTTTCTTACCCCCTGTATCACAGATCGTAAATTATGGATAATATCCCAAAAAAGGCCTCGGACATAACAAGACCGCAAATGTTCACAAGTCTTATTATACATATCAGCACTAATTTTAACCTACTACTATCCGGCTAGTAAATCCCACCACTTTCCTGCCAGGGTCCAAAATATTTTTAAATTCAAAAGCATGATTATTATTATCGTGCTTTCTCTTAGTTTATTTGAACATGTTCCAAGGCATTTCCCATTAGCGATTTCTCTAGCGCTCTATTTGAACTTTCGCCGACCTCCATTAACGGGTGTGATGGTACCATCACGCCCGTCAATGGAGGTCGACTACCCACGTGGGCGTAGTGGCCGAAGATGTTGAGGGTAGCACACACGAAGTAACTTGGAGCAATAGATATAACTCTTGGCTAGTACTGATCTGAAGAGAGTCGCTAAACGGGTAATCAATCTCATCCAAACTGGGAGTAGGAAAAGTCAAATGGTATGGTCCCTGCCAGCACCAGCCTCAACTGGCCGCGCCCTGTCGCCGCGGCGAGATATGGCTATGAGGCGGCCAGACGTGACCATCTGGCGTGGATAATACGTGGCCTTCGACACCACAGCCAGGTTTGGCTACACCATCCAATAAAAGTGCGTGTCGGTGTTCCCCATTCTCCATTCGCTGCCCCGCCCCCTTTAAGACCTGCGTTTTGTACCCGCGAGTGCATTCATTCTAAACTGTCGGCTATCTCAGTACGATTGCATGTGTCCCTGAATCCTCCCAGCTTCGGCTAAGTCAAATCTGCGATAAACACCCCGCGTTAGTGCGCAACCGGACAGCCCATTTATCGTTCACTCTATCACACGATATAGAAAAGTGGACAGACAATGGTAAGACGCGACAGTTTATTGAGTATTTGTAAATGAGAAAAAGGCACGAAAAAATACACGCAAGGACCCAGTTCTTCAATAAACATTAAAGGGTTTCTCGACTATTTCCACTGCTTATCGGCGGTTTCTGTAAAAAGAACTGTGGTAAAACATAGGTAATGCTTTTGTACTTGAAGTAATTTATAATGTTAATAGCAAGGTAAATGCAATTTATACGTGACGTGTCAGGAGGAGGCTTCCTCCGGGGCAGGCCAGATACGGGTCTCACGTTCTGAGTAGCGAATTCGTCTGCCCGTCCTCAAACACAGGAAATTCATGCACGCAGTTCCATGTTCATGACCTTAATTGACCCATTGTGAGGATACACCGGATTCGCATTTAAATATGACTAGTTTGGCCCCCTCTTCTCGTTGACTGCGGTTATATTTGGCGGCCCCACTGGTCTCACGCCATCGCTGCCTCGTGCGAATAAAATTCATAAAACCAAATTGGGGGCAAGCTAATTGATGTAGTTGTTGATCGAGTTGTCGGTGGACATCCAGGCGTCTTTCCACCCGCCCTAACACGAAAGCGTCGCCTCAGCCAAAAATTTCAAGGCTGATGCGGAGAAGCTCGGATGTCCTCTGTCAAATTAATTTATTTGCCCCTATTTTGTTTACGAACCACCCTGACAGGAGAAAGTGAGGGCGCGAAGTAATTAGGTACGCTAATTATCTTCGCTGTTAACCAGGGTGGGCGTGACATCAGTCACAGTGAAATTCAGGTACGACGCAGACCCGTAACCGGTCAACGAGGACCCTGTTAAATAAGCCATGTCTCACTTTTTAAACTCTTGAGATAGGTAGGCGGACTTACTACTTCTGCGAACGTCAGACCTCAAGTTGACCTCGTCCAGTGAAGTAGAAATGTACTTTGCAATAATTGTAATAATATTATGTATTCTCATCAATATCTTCCTCCCAACTAATCTCCTGCAGCACATTCCCAGAACTCCGATTTCGGCCGGGCTCATTTCTCCTACTTGAAAGCCCCGAAAAACGGGTTATCTAAAGAGCAATGCAGCCAAAGCTTCTACAAAGGCTGAGTTGCTTTTCTAATATTAGACACTGTTTCATCATCGCCTCAAAGTATTTGTCTAAATTTCTGCTCTCGGAAGCCTCTCGACCATACCTTTCCATTCAGCTTGTAGTGACATTTAAGTCCGTTTTGTTTTTATCGGTAATAATACGTTTTGACACAACTTTGAATAAGACGAAGAACACGCACGTGAACTTTTACCTGCTGACGACTTTGTTCTTATTTACTAGTTTGTAACTGTTGGGATACTGCTATTTTCGTTTCTCGGATAACCTGTTTACTGTGCCCAACTAGAAGGCTTGTCTCTTACAAGCTAATGAAGTTATTTTCTACAGAAAAATCGTCATAAAAGCCTTTCCTTCATAATTAAGCCTACTCTCTTTGTGTATATAGAAAAGTTATCCAGAATGTTGGAGTCCGCTCTAGTGTTGCAAAGTGACGCGCACTTGGGGTTCGAACTGGGGACATCAAAAGTTAGAGCCTGCTCCGCTAACCCCTGCACTACCGACGCATGGCTGGACTGTACAGCTAAAAGCTTTGTTAATTCGTCACCACAGGATCCGGTTGGATATTCATGTATTGGTTTTCAAACGATGGCCTACAAGATGCAGCAACTAGAAGTAAGAAATCTGAAGGAACTTATGCACGACACTGTTTCTTCAGAGGACTACCCGGTGTTATCTCCGCAGAGGTTAACTCGGAGTAGAACAAAAGCCATCCATTTCAAGGAATCCCCAGAAAGCAATCATGTGGGGAATGAGACAACTGCTATTAGTATTCAAGCAGTGGCTGCCGATGAGAAAAAGAACAAGACGAAGAAGACGACACTTAACACCACGAGGAAAGGTCGCCAGAATACGAAAGAGAGTATATCAGTCTTGCCCGAAAAGCAGTTGAAAAATGAAAAGAATGTGAATGTGCCAACAGAAGAAGTAAAAGGAATGGGACAGATGATGCGCAACCTTAATAATCCCCAGACAGGGTGCTCATTTTCGGAGCCTAACTTGGAGGGATTAAGAATTAGCGCAAAGACGTATAGATATGGACTCAGAGTGGAATTAGTTGCCACCGCGAAGTCCCATGTCAAAAGAGTTGAGAAGTAAGCTGAGGAAACCTCTAATTCATGGGGGTCAAACTCTCCAAAGAGTCCTCTGATGGGAGGCATTGTTGATCAACCACAGTGTGTAACT